CTATGCAACACATAATGATTTGACACTTTGCATTTTATCACATCTTCTCACCCATCCCTTTACATTCTTAGATTTTCGGAGTATAGTGTTTTTCGTAGAAGCACGACAACTTTTCTCCGCGACAACTTTTCTCGCCATTTCCGGGGAGAGGAGGAGAGCCCGCGCACAGCTTTATTCAGCGCTCAAAATGGGAGGAGGGGAAAGCGTGCCTGTTCCTTCCACTGCATTGCCAAGAATAGTTGTCGCAGAGTATAGTTAGTAAGATTATAGTTTTGCTGTTTTGTTGATGTCACTATGGCTATGATGATTTCAAACAAAAACCAGTACCACAAAAATAAGAGAAATATTTAAAATAAATGTCTCCTTTTGTGACATGTCTTTTCTATTTTCTTATTTACCAATAGTTTCAGCGGTTTACAATCAATTTTTTTTCCGTGTTCCCGAAATGATAGAGTCGCTATATTGGTTAAAACGAGCCTTTCAATTATATACAATTCATTCGGGGATCACTGTGACAAAGCGGTAACATTTCACATAGAACTTTGTTGTACAATTTATATTTCAAACTTGATATTAACGCGAGTTTATTCCTAAAAATGTCTCACCAACACGCGTGCGTTACAAGGTGCAGCCTTGAAGTAAATAAAGATCATCGCCGTTTTTTGGAAAGAAAAAACATTTTTCGCACAGCATTTATATTAAATTTCATATCTTGGGCTCGGAGTTCCTTGCCAACAAGGACACACAGTGAACGAGTGAGATTGAGGTTACACAATATGATAGGTTCACTTCTGCGAATATTTACTCTGTGACTACATTTGTTTCATATTTTAATGTAGGGGACAATAATTAAGTCTAGTGCCGTCGCAGATAGCACAACATAGAAACATGCCTACTTCGGTAAAAGCTAGGGAACTATAGGGACCAAGTCAGGGCCGAATACGCTTTTGCTCTAAGACGTTATTTAGTGTACTTTTCTTTAGGGGTTCCTATGACTTTTCTCTGGCCCGCCACATAATTGCTAAAGTGCCAAACTTAGGCCAAAGATGGCATGTGTGACTAAACACCAGCGGTGAAGCCTAAATTTGGCACTTAATTTGCAGTTTAGGTCCAAAATTTCCACATGAAAACTAAACAACCAAAAGTCAAACCGAACTCAGGCACTTGTTTGGCGATTTAGTGCCATAGATGCCAGATGACAGCCAAATTATTAAAAGTGAGACGTAACTTTGGCATTTCCTTGCCGACTTAGCACCCCGTAACTGATCATGAAAATAAACAATACCTGAACTTTGCCTAAATTCACAAACAAAAACTAAATCTGGGCCCGAATAGCTGCTCTACCTTTGGCAACAAAGTCGAGCAGAACGTTACTTACAATGCTAAATATTGCCACGCGCGTCGCTGAGCGAGCGCGTACGTGGCCGAATGGTCACCGTGCTTGGCTGTCGCGCGTAGGATCTGGGTTCGATTCCAGGGAGCGGAAAGTTCTTTTATTTATTTTTTTTTTACTTGGGATTCTCGCAAATTCGAAAACTTTCACGTCCGATCGAGTTGCGAATGTTTTACGCGCCGAATGTTTTAGGCCGATTGTTCCAGAAGCCCACGCGTGTACAAAAGGTGCTCCGCGTGGCAAAGGCGGAGGCAGTGTCGCCCCAGCGTTCGATCCTGCTGTTACGCCGACTTCGACACCCTCGACGCTCATTTGTTATCTTCTGTCCCCTTTTTGTTTTAGGCACAAGTTCGCCCCACTAAACGTTTCAGTTTCCTTAATTATTCTTTGTTTCGTTCCCTCGTCATTCGTAGCGATATGTTCAGAGATTTTGGAAGTACGTACCAACATTTACACTTATTATTGCTTGCTTTTTGCTTTTATAAATGTTATTGTTAAATAAATCTCGTCTTTTCCGTTTATAGCTGCGCCAAGGGAAGGAGAAACGCTCCCACAACAGGTGGCGTATAACGGGCAAGGTAAATATACTCTAATTTCTTAAAATTATTTTTAAGTATAAAAAATTGATTTCTTCATTTCTGAGTAATAAAAAATATATACAAATTTAAGACAAGAAATCAGAAGCCGATGCTGTCTTACATGGGAATGCTAGCGACGGTAATTAATATGGTTAGATAGAGGCTAAGAAACACAGAGCTTTGTCCATTATGATCAGGCTTCTTGCTGCATGATTCGTTCTTTGGTTTCTCTTTCTATTGATGGAGGAATCGCGTTGGCTGCGGAGTGATAAGGGTGCTTGACACTCGCCACGCACTGCACTTTTTATGTAGTTATTTTTATATATGGCCACATGCGTTTTCAATGTATAGAACTGACTTTGTGGACACGTGTGAGATTTATATCAGTAAAACACAGTTGTGAGAAAGAAGAAGACATTGCTTTTCTTTTTTGTTTCTTGCTGACAGGTCTTATTTTTACCGAAATAGATGCTCCGGCACGCACAATGTTATCGCGTTTTTACAGCAGAGCTGTTAAGTGCTACTTCCCAAGGATCGTATCCCCCGCAAAGAAATGTCGACACAAAACTCTGGACAGCTACTGCCTTTTAAGAGCGACGGCGGCAACCAGACAATCGGCTTGAAGCCCTTGCTCATAGATAACGACAACCTTTCTACTCTGGTTTTCACCAGAGTGGAAAGGCTGAATTTTTCTAGGCGTCGTTCCAGATGTCGTCCTCGAGGTCGTCTTTGAAGTCGTCCTTGAGGTCGTTCTAAATGTCGTCCTTGAGGTTGTCCGAGAGGTTGTCCTCCAGGTCGTCCTAGAAGTTGTCCTTGAGGCCGTCTTAGACATCGTTCTTGACGTCGTCCGAGAGATTGTCCTCGAGGTCGTCCTAGAAGTCGTTATTGAGGTTGTCCTAGACGTCGCCCTCGAGGTCGTGCCAAAAGTCATCCTTGATGTCGTCCTAGACGTTGTCTTCAAAACCGTCCCAGACGTCGTCCCTGAGGTCGTCCCAGGCGTCATCCTTGAGGTCGTCTAGATGTCGTCTTTGAGGTCGTCGTCTAGGAGTCGTCTAAGAAGTCGTCCTTAAGGTTGTCCTAGGCATCATCCTTGAAGTCGTCCTAGACTTCGTTCTAGACGTCGTTTTCGAGGTCGTCCAGGAAGTCGCCCTTAGGTCGTCTGACAATAGTACAGCTTCGCTGACCTTCCTTCTTCACCAAAGTGTAAAGGCTGAAAGTTTTTTTAACGATATGTATAGCCTTTGGTGGAATTTCGCTCATAACGAAATTTTGTCTTTCTCAAAATTACCTTTTGACCCAGATGACGTCATGTTATGAAACTTTCCACTTCTATTCCAACCCCTAGCGTCACATTCTCACTGAGTCTGAGCTTTTTGCGGTATGCTAGTTCATATACCCGGGCCGAAAAATTGGCCATGTTGAATTAACCTGAGACTGGGGTAGAGAAGAAACATCGAAACGTAGAAGGGACAGAAAATACACAGGACGACGTCTCAAACTCAGCTCGCTGAGTTTGCGACGTCGCCAAACTGAGGTGAGTTTGAGACGTCGTCCTCTCTATTTTCTGTCCCTTCTGCGTTTTGATGTTTCTTCTCTACTCCAGTCTCAGGTTAATTCAACAGGGTTAAAATTCACCAGCTCGCCTGCACCCATACGATTTTTTCTACGAAAAATTGGGTTCTCTTTTCTGGGGAGCACCCTGTCAATGTGAAGCAAATATGATGCGGCACTATGCTGCTCGTCCACTGTTCCGAGAGGCAGACGTGCGAAACGATTAATAAATATATCAGATCCAGAGACACAAAAGCAGCGACGATGACCTCTTCTAGGGGCACTGACGAAACAAAGGTAGAGCTGAAGAGTACTGGAACAAAGTGCAGGGGTACATGGCTAAACGAGTGCGAAAAATTAACCATTTAGAAGTCCGGGAAGTCACCACAGGGGAGAGCTGAGTAAAAAAAAAGATCAAAAGTATGCGCTCAGTCGTTTTCTTACGGCATAGTGGAGGGGCAAATAAATTTGAATGTATAAAGGCCGGTCCATACCAGCCCGAAATCGGGGTGGCGGCTAGCGGAAGCAGCAAAGTCTTTGTGCTTTACGTACCTGTCACGGAAAGAAATGTTGCGGTTCACCTTGGTCGGTTTGTACAACCGGCGGCCAGCCAATGGGGTGATCACGTGTTTTTTGCTACTTTGCCCGCAAGAAAGGCCCGCAAGTGACGATGTAAGATAAATTTTACATAGTACTCCGCTCTTTTGCGTTAGACAGTGTGCCGGTAGCACCAAATCCTCCCTTAACGTTGTGGACAGACCACATCCGGAAGAACGCATGCATATCGCGTAGCATACGCTGTCGCGCTTTCGTGCTGCGCTGATGGAAAGAACTGCCGCCCACGCACCGAGGTACCGGGCTCTCCAAGACATCATAAGGGAGTTTACGAGGATTGTTTTCGCCGTTCCGCAACGCCCTTCGCAACCCGCTATGATACCCGGAACTCTACAGTCAAGGCCATCGGCGCTGTCGCAGTAGTAGTGGCTTCTTTTTTGCGGAGGGCTTAGCCAATGGGGAAGCGAGGTCTGCGAAAACTTTCTAAAACTATTACAAGTGGGATCCCGGCTTAACCTCGAACCGCGTTCCGAGGTGAGGTGGACCTACTCTCCAGGCAGGATGTTCACTGCTTGCCATACAATGTTGCCAAGTTTCCCTTGGCAACATTGTACGGCAATTGAACCGCACTCAATAAAAAACTGCGAAATAAGACATATTATTTTATGAGCTTGATTTAATAAAAATACATATGTCTACGTCACGCGGAAGTCAGGTTTTGTTCACTCCAAAAGCCAATGACTCACTTTAAACAAAACAAAAAATGGAAACTAAAGTTTCTTAAACAAAAGAAGAAGAGAGTATAATTTACGCATTTGCACACGCACACAGATATTGCGCAGCTATAATACAAAACACTTGCGTTCTCAACTGAGACTAAAACTGGATGAGTTAACTTTTTAGTTGCGACGAATCATTTCGCAATGTGCGTGATGCGATATCTGGTGTTTATGTTGCTGTGCGGCGCCGCATACGGTGAGAAAAATATCTGTAGTAATTATAATTTATTTCTTAAATAATGTTTTTAGTATTTTTGTTTTAATATGTACACGTTGTACGCCGCGTAGCGATGATTTAAAATACTTCGTTTTTAGCAGACTCTGTGTCAGAAAAATTAAAGGTTATTCTTATGACAGAAATGTGAAAGGATAGGGTAACCGACTAAAAGTTACAGAGAATCGACGAGTGTTGGATAATCTCTTAAATACAGAAAAAAAGAAGATCGATCTTTTTTTACCGATGAGTTGTACAGCGACGCGTTTTCAATTTGTCACATTTGGCTGGCATTTCAAAACAAAATGCCCAGCCAAGAAAAATTTGACATCCGCCCGAAAAAAAACTGTTGAGCTTAATCTACCCTTTGACGAATTCAATTCTTTATTTGATTTTATTATGTTTACGGAAACGTGGAATTCGAATGAAAGTGCTGTTTTCAGTCTACCGATGTATAATGGATATTATTTGAACAGAACAGTTGGACGCAGAGGGGGTGTATCATTAATACTTAGAAATAATATCTGTGGTGAAAAAATAGAAGAATACTCATGTCTCTGTAACAATTACGAAGTGCTGTCCTTGCTCGTTAATAAAATTATCTCGACAATCTGTAGACCACCGGATGGGAACGTGATATATTTTCTTTTTTTTTTTTAGAAACGTACTTCAGATTTGTAACCAAGAATAGATATAATATTATTTTGTGAGGAGATCCTAATCTTAACATTCTGCAGGATGCACCTAATGATATAAATTAAAACTGTTACTAAACAGTAGTGGTTGTATAAACGCAATTACATCACCTACGTCAATCACGGTAGAATCATCTACATTGCTCGACTTGTTTTTAACGAATTTGGATCTAGCTTATCTGAAGTTAGGGATAATAAGCACGAACATAAGTGATCATTTGGGTATATTTATTTCTATAAAAAAAGAATAAGACAAAACTACGAGGAACCAATTTCTTGGATCCTTTCAGAATAATAAGAATGCAGCCTTTGTGAATTTAGATAAACACTTTCAGAGCTAGACTGGAATGAAGTTTACGATTTACTAGACGCTGACGAAGCATACAACTTGTTCTTAAACAAATTTCCGCGCATTTATATTGAGTGTTTTCACAATAAACCTGTCAGGTTGTCGAAAAAGAGTCGTAAGCCCCGAGTGTCTCAGGAACTTTGAACAAAAACTAAAAAAAAAAGCTTTATATAAATATTCGTGGTAACAATAGACCCTGCAAACTTAAAAAAAAAACGTTCAAAATATACCGTAATAGAATTACAAACAAAATAAAGAATGCTAGAGCGAGATATTTCAATAATTGGTTTATGCCCTCTGCAATGCAAACAGACGTGATATGGAAGAAATTAAGCAATGTTTAAGATCATTCCCACGGTACAGGTCAAATTAAAAAAGATTTATCTTAATGACAGAAAATTAACGGAATGACCACTAGCAAATGCCTCTAATAATTATTTTTTAAACTTAGTTACAGAAACCCCTAATGAAAATGCTTGTGCATATATTCAGAGTGGAAATGTAAGCTCGATCTTTCTCGAGCCGGCTGTAGAAGTGGAAGTGACGCGAACATTTCAATCGCAAAAAAAAAAAAACAGTACAAGCTGTGACCCTGACGACAAGCAAAAAGTCCCATAAAATATCTTATAAATATCATATTTCCCTGTTTGATGCATATCTTTAATTTGTGCTTACAGCCCGGGGTATTTACGAAAATAATGCAGATTGTAAAGGTAAGTGTTTTGTACAAAAATGGGTGATAGGAATGACATAGGTAACTACAGGCAAATTTAAATCTTAACGGTGTTTTCGAAAGGCCTTGAAACCATTCAGCATTTGGGCCAAGCGCAATTTTATGAACAGCATGTTATAATCGCTTCGTCACAGTTTGAATTTCGCAAAAAAACGGTCTACGGAACTTGCTCTTTTAGAAAAGAAAGATTACATTTAGCGTAGTTCGAAGTTAGAAGATGACACTCGGAATTTTCATCGATTTAGCAAAGTATTCGATCATTTAAACCACAATCTGTTTATCAAAAAGCTAGGAATGCACGGATCTTCTGGTTATACCTCAACTTTAATTACGTCATAACTATCTCATCGAAAACAATATGCTCACATAGATGGCTTCTGCTCTAATGTAAATCTTTTCCGATGTTCCACAAAGGACTATCTTGGGAACTTTTTTGTTTAACCTGTATGTGAATGATATTGTAAACGTAAACCCGAATATTAAAAATTTTATCTGTGCTGATGAAGTTTGTTCTTCTCAGTAAATAAAGCGAACAAAACTCTCAAGTACCTAGTTACTTGGAGTAGTTCTAATTCCTTCAAAGTTAATGAGGGCAAAATAGTAGACCTCTTATTTCGTCCAAGAAACAATAATGATGATATTACAAGCGATATTATCCTGAACGGTACAAAAATAGAAGATCTTTTTAGTTTTAAAACACTTGGTATCATCTTCACAGATTGAATGATATATGGGACGAGCATGTGAATTATGTATTGGTAAAGCTGTCACGCGTGGTTGACATGATATACCGTCACCACCATATTTTACCAAAACACGTGAAAATACTAGATTATAATTCATTATTTCATTCCCATGTGAACTTTTGCGATCTAGACTGCGATAATACAACAAATGCAAATTTAAGTAAAATACTTGTCTTTCAAGAAAACGTTTTTACGAAACATCTGTAATGTTCCATATGATCATCCTAGTGCGCCTCTTGTTAAGGTCCTGAGTCTGATGCCTGTAAATTGCCTGTATCAATATCGACAGTGTGCAACCTCTAAATCACGTCTTGAAAAAAAAATAATGCACATAGATTTCTGGAACTTGCGTCCCTAACACCAAGAGCGACCGCATATCCCACCCGCAACACGGAGTATACAGAGTGCTCCAAAATTGCAAAACCACGTATGGCGAGCGAATGATATTGTCACGAATGGCAAGTGATGAGGCGATAATAACTGGAGAAACTAAACTTTTAAAGGGGTGCCCAAAAATAAAAAGGGAACAGAATAAAGCAGAGCGTCGCGGGCGTCGAAGTCGGTGTGACAGCAAAATCGAACGCTGGGGCGAAACTGACTCCGGCTTGCCACGCGGAGCCCCTTTTGTACACGCGTGTGCTTGTGGAACATGCGGCGTAGAAGGTTCGGCGTGTCGAACATTCTAGCCTCGAATCAGCAACAGGGTTCTCGAAATTACCAGAGCATTACGTTAGAATCAGCAAAAATGCGTCTTCGCAGCCGGAAATCGAACCCTGGCTTTCTGCGCGGAAGGCAGGCGCGATAACCGTTGGGGCACGAGCGCGCTGCCTGCTTGGTCAGCTGCGCTCACGGCATTACTCCCCCCTATAAAATGTGCATCGCCCCAATGCAATGCAAAACAAAAAAAAGCACATAGAAAGAAAAGGCGAACTAAGGAGTCTTTTGGCACACATAAAATCCACAGTCCTATCGAGCGTAGTACGACTTTAGACGAACGACGTGGACAACTTCAGGTCGCGGTGGGCGAAGGGATGATGTTCTTGCTCCGTCGGGCATCACCTTGTAGTTCAGATCCCCGAGTCGACGAAGCACTTTGCAGGGTCCAAAGTAGCGCTTCAGGAGTTTCTCGCTGAGTCCTCGGCGGCGAATCGGTGTCCAGACCCACACCCTGTCTCCAAGCTGGAAGTGGACGTCCCGACAACGAAGGTTGTAGCGGCCAGTGTCGATACGTTGTTGGGCTTGAATCCTGAGCCTGGCGAGCTGACGGACTTCTTCTTCCCGTTAGGCAACCACCGGAGCGTCGTCGCTTCCGTCGACAGCCGGTTCTGGAGTATCCACACGAAGGAGAAATCCGCCCCTTTCTTCCGCGGAGCGCGCATCACGTGAGACATACGTCATCCCTTTTTGACGCCTCGCGGCGCGTTCTCCTCCGTGGCGGAGACGCGGAGGCTTTGCGCTGACACCACGAAAGCTCCGCAAGTGCACGTGGCGGAGCCGGGGACGGAGCTTTTCGGGATGTTGACGTCACGACATCCGTCCGCGGAGTTCTCCTTCGTGTGGATACCCCTTTCGTGAGGTAACATCGCGTCCAGCATTGTCGTCACTTTGCGACCATGAACCAGTTAAAAGGGTGTAACCCCGGTGGTCTCTTGCACGGCCGTGTTGTAGGCAAAGGTGACGTACGGCAACACCTAGTCCCATGTCTTGTGCTTCACGTCGACGTACATAGAAATCATGTCGGCGATGGGCTTGTTAAGTCTTTCCGTCAGCCCGTTGGTCTGCGGGTGGTACGCCGTGGTGTGACGATGGCTGGTGTGGCTGAGACGAAGCACTTTATGTGTCAGCTGGGCCATGAACGAGGATCCACGGTCTGAGATCAGGACTTCGGGGGCGCCGTGCTGGAGGACAAAGGACTCGATGAAAAACTTGGCGACTTCAACAGCCGTACCTGATGGAAGGTCTCTCGTTTCGGTGTACCGCGTGAGATAATCTGTGGCGACGATGATCCAGCGATTTCCTGACGTCGACGGCGGAAAAGGGCCAAGCAGATCTATTCCGATATGCTGGAACAGTGCGGTCGGGGGAGTAATCGGCTGCAGGAGACCTGCCGGCTTCGTCGGCGGTTTCTTACGTCGCTGGCACTCGTGGCACGACCTGGTGTAGATGTGGACGGCTTTGGGGAGCTTTGGCCAGTAATACTTTTCTCGAATGCGGGCCAATGTTCGGCTGTAACCGAGATGTCCGGACCTCGGGCCGTCGTGACATGCTTGAAAGATCTCCTCCCGAAGGTCGGTCAGGATTACAAACAACCACGGTGTGTTGTTGTCCCCGAAGTTCTCTTCGTAGAGAACACCTTGTCGAATGGCGAAGGTCGGCAGTACTCGTGAGAGGACACGTGGCACAGTACTCCCGTTCCTTTCCAGGTGCTCGAGTAATGCGCGCAGCTCAGGATCGTCCCGTTGACGTCGTGACATGTCGTCGATGTTCACTGCTCCTGGGAAGCACTCGTCGTCATTGTCGTCGCTGCAGCCGAAAGGAGTTTCGACGGGGGCTCTGGACAGACAGTCGGCGTCGCTGTGCTTGCGGCCTGACTTGTAGACGACAGTCATGTTGAACTCTTGTAGTCGGAGACTCCATCGAGCGAGGCGTCCTGACGGGTACTTGAAGTTCGCAAGCCAGCAAAGCGAGTGGTGGTCCGTCACTACGCGGAACGGGCTCCCGTACAAGTACGGGCGAAACTTCGTGATTGTCCAGACGACCACAAGGCATTCTTTCTCAGTCGTGGAGTAATTTTTCTCCGCCTTGGACAGTGTCCGACTTGCGTAGGCGATGACTCGCTCGATTACTTCTTGCACGTGGACCAGTACTGCGCCCAGTCCCGCGTTACTTGCGTCCGTGTGAATCTCAGTTTCCGCATCCTGATCGAAATGTCCAAGCACAGGAGGAGTCTCGAGTCGTCATTTCAGCTCGTCGAATGCCTGCTGCTGCTCCTCGGCCCATTCGAACTTCTCGGCGTCTTTCGTGAGGTTTGTGAGCTGTGCGGAAATTTTAGCGAAATCCCGAACGAAGCATCGATAGTAGGCGCAAAGTCCAAGGAATCTTCGTACGACCTTCTTGTCTGTCGGCGCTGGAAATGCCGCAACGGCTCGAGTCTTCTCGGGATCTGGGCGGACGCCTTTGTTACTAGCCACGTGGCCTAGGAAGTTCAGTTCGTCCTAGGTGAACCGGCACTTTGACGGCTTGAGTGTGAGTCCGGCGGTCTGAATGGCTTGGAAAACAGCTCGGAGTCGTCGCAAGTGCTCGCCGAAGTCACTTGAAAACACTACGACGTCATCAAGGTAGACGAGACAGCTATGCCACTTCGACCCTGCCAGTACCGTGTCCATGACACGCTGGAAAGTTGCCGGCGCCGTGCATAGGCCGAAAGGCATCACCTTGAACTCGTACAAGCCATCCGGCGTGGCGAAGGCTGTCTTCTCTCGGTCCGGTTCGTCGACTTCGATCTGCCAGTAGCTGCTCTCCAGGTCCATCGATTGGGGGGTGGATAGACGTATTTCTTCGTTACCGCGTTCAGCTGCCGATAGTCTACGCAGAACCTAAGCGTTTCGTCCTTCTTCCTAACCAGCACGACTGGAGAGGCCCACGGACTGCTTGAAGTCTGGATTATGTCGTCGCTCAGCATTTCTTCCACTTGCTGTTGGATGACCTCCCGTTCTTTTATGGAGACTCGGTACGGCGATCGGTGCACAGGGAGTGCATCGTCCTCGATGACGATGCGATGGTTCGCAACGGTGGTTTGGCGCACCTTCGTTGACGTAGCGAATCAGTCGCTGTATTTGGCGAGGAGGTCAATCAGCTGTCGTCGTCTCGGGCCTGGGAGTTCGGGTCGATGTCGAGCTCCGCTGGTGGCGAGATGTCTCGCTGAGGTGGCGATGATTCGTCAGCAATCGCGGCGATGTCGGCGGAGTTTTGAAGTTCCTCGACGTGGCCCACAGCGTCAGCTTTCGTGAGGTGTTGCGTTTCTTGTCGGAAGTTCGTCACGAGGACCACGGTGCGCCCATCCTGAAGGTTAGTCACTCCTCTAGCGACGCCAATTCCTCTCCTCAAGGGCGATTGAAGGTTACCTTTCAGGACAACTTCGCCGCAGGTAGCTGTATCGTTCACGACGGGTACGACAACACGTGATCGCGGGGGCAGGTTAACGTGGTCGGCGGCTCGGATGGCGGCTGACGCTGTTTGGGCTTTCTCTGAAGGCGGTACAGGTTTCCGCAGCGTCAATCTTTATTCACCAAGGTCGATGACGGCGCCGTATTCACACAGAAAGTCCATGCCGAGAATGAGGTCCCTGGCACAGACTAGTAGAATGACGAACTTCACAAGGCACGTCTCACCATGGATCTTCACGCGAGCGGTGCATTTCCCGAGTGGTGTGATGAGATGCCCTCCGGCGGTTCCTATCTGAGGTCCAAACCAAGGCGTTGCCACTTTTCGAAGGCGGCGAGAGAGCCTCCCACTCAAGACTGAGTAGTCTGCCCCGCACTCTTAAAAAAAAGGGTATGGATAGTCCTCCCTTAGGGGAGGAACGGTCTTGTAACCTATGTTCCTTTGGAAAGGGAGAAACTTTTGTCCCTGAAGCAGGGGAGCAAAGTTCCTTCGTCGCTTGCATATCATTATGGCGGCCCCGAATCAAGCGAATCGAGCCCAATAAGGCTTAACGAGGACGCTACGTCTCTTGTACGGGACGAGAGGAGCAGCAAATAAAAGCGTTACTCGAGCTTTCCGCGAACTGTGTTTGTTTCCGAAGCCAGATTCCCCCCACAGGTACAGAAACTTGCGTTTCGAAAGCAGTTACTCAGTCTTCTCGTCAACAGCACTGCGATGTTAAACGGAGACAGCCGATACCCAGTTACTTCGCGCACTTTGCGTCTTCCCTTTGGTGTTCCTCGAAACTCAGTTCCTTCGTCAACCGCACATTACGGAGAATGGCAAACTCAATCCGTGAAACCAAAAGCCGCTCTCGAAAGAACAAACTCGAAGCCGCTGTTTATCGCGTAGCGTGAACAGCGACTTCGATTTTGTTCTTGGTAAGCTTCACAGATTTGTGGAAAATAAAATATGGTAAACTTTTACAAATCTTTGTAATGCGAAACTAGAGCGCAGCTTTTGAAGAGGAGAAGGGGAGGGTACAGAGGGAAGGGTACGCCCCTCTTCTTCCTCCTCGCCCCTCCCCTTCTACCCCCTCTTCCCTCCTCCTCCTTCTCAGTCTCTCCCGCTCCTCCTTTCCCCCTCCTCTCCTCCTGAAGTTGAATTTGTTCATGAGTGACGGGACACGAAGTCATGACGTCATTTTCCCCTCTAAGTTCTGGGGGAAACTGAATTGATGTTGAGGTCAAGTGACGTCAATTTCCCCGCTAACTTTAGCGGGGAAACGTCGGAGAATGCAACGCACGCGGTTAAGGCCCTGTCACACTGAGGCAACAGTTGGACAACTCTATCCGGCAACACAAGGAAATCGTGTTGCCGGCGACCCTGTCACATCCCGGCAACAACAACAGTCGGGCAACATGTTGCCGTTGCCCGGAAACCGTGTTGGCCGATTTGTTGTCCGACCACCCTGTCACACCGCGCTGACGGCGGGGACAACACGGGGGAACACTCCGCCATCTTGATTGTTTACCTTCGTTCGTGTGAGGCGCGGTGTCTCTGGAAATGGGCCTCTACAAAGGGCTAGTGCGTTCGAAGGGCCGGAAATTAGCACCAGTGACGGTGATTAGAAAACTTGAAACGGAGAGTATTTTTCCGCTTTGTATATTATCAAAACGGTCTTCATTCGCTGGCAAAGCCGATAGCCCTTAGCGAGGAAAGTGTAACCGCTGATATTTGTTCGGGATTTCCGCCACCGTATGAACAGTTTCGGGCCGGTTCTTTCTTTCGCGCAATTTCTAGTTCTACTGTAGTACCGCAACGCGTCTTTTGTAGCGGGGTGTTGAGCTGAACTGATAGTTCTTAAAAACAGCGACACCGTAACGATCGGCCTTTATAGCAATTCTGTGGAATAAGTATTTTTTAACGCTGTACATTTGCCTAGCGCCTGGTATGTGGTCGCTTCATTCCCCAAAACGTCTTGGAGATGTTTTTTATCGATTGGGGTGTCAAGGGCATAGTGTATGGGGCTAATCGAAACGGTCAGTCTGCTTATTATGACAGATGCGTTAACTAACGTTTTTAATTTGTGAAAATAGACATATGGTTCATATTGGAAACTTGCTGAGCGTCATCTAAAACATCTAAATCAGTCATTTTTAGGAATACTTTGAGCACGTGAGAAACATAGTAATACGATAAATGTACCACTCGTGCCACAGCCTCAAGGCTGGGGCTATGAAAAGAGACGAAAACGTCGTGCGGGCGGGGTATCTCGCCGGTAGCCTTGCTCTTGCAGCTCGAGTAGTAACTTTAGCGCACTGCTGCGATTCTCGCGCGCTCTAAGTCTTCCTAAAAATTAAGGATTTAGTAGCTTTCGAGGACACTCAGCAAGTTTCTGATTGGAACCCTAAGCCTATTTTCACTAATTCGATCAGAAGTTAATTAACACATTTTACCTAATTGACCGACTGGTCGTTACAATTAGCAACCTATACTATTTCCCCCTGGCCATGTAACTCACCTGTACAAAACACATAAGTGTAGCTTCCACAGTTAATTTCAAGAAATCTGTAGAGCTGAAAAAAAAAAAAAACCGCCGGTATAAAGCCACAATGTAAGTTACATCTTGTCGGGAGCAGCAAGCATATCATTGAAAGTTTTGTTTGCGACATTGTTTACATTTTTCATATTAATTTTGATGACAGATGTTTTTAATTTCCGTTTAATGTTGCAGCTGATAAAAAACCACTTTATCTTGGAGTCTTCCTAGCAACGGATTCTGCTTTTCGATCGTGCTCACCTTACCGAAACGATAGCATGCTCCAAGATTACCTAAAAGCATTTGTTGGAGGGGTGAGTACTTTTTAAAACTTTGGGGTCGAGTACATATCCATTATCACACATAAAGGCGACTCCTTCCCGGATATATACTTATTTCTCTACATATATGTTATAAAAAAAACTGTCAGAGACAGACATGCACGTAACACGTTACTGGTAACCAGTTACTTCTACCTAGTTACGTTTTTCTGTAACGAGTTACTTATTTAGGTACTTTCTTAGAGAAGAAACGAGTAACGTACTTAGTTAATTTTCAGGCTAAGTAACGCGTGACGGTATTTCATTACTTTTGAGAAGTATCGTGTACCTTTAAGCAGCCTTGTTTTAGTTCTAACCTGAGTATGCGTCTATGGTGACAAAGGCAGATGGGCAACCCCCCCCCCCCCCCCTTAAAAAAAAACAAACAACAGTATAGCACCATTCATCGCTAAACACGTCACTCCAACTCCACAGCTGAGAAGGTTCCTTACCTAGAGAACACAATCAGGTTCGTTGGTTGAACCTTCTAGACCTGTGTACAGACCGAATGTAAACCCGGAGGTGTTCAACGTTGCACTGGACCAATTGTCCTCTTCAAACTTTAGAAGCAGAGAGAACAAATGAGAGAGTGGAATCTCAGAGTCACCAGCTCTTCCTGGAGCACAACACTGCAGTTCCTTCGAGCGCATCAGTAGAGTGACTCTTCAGCGTCGCCGGTGATGTAGTCTCAATTAAGCGGGGAAGCATAGCTGATCTAAACTTTGAACGACAGCAACTGCCTAAAAAAGGTAATAAAACGATATTGCGTTGGAATGTTTAGGACTTTGCAGACGCCTACTGGTCCCAGTCTGGCTCAAGTATACTCGCACACCACCACTGATTTAAAGTTTTTTTGTCGCGATGAAATTGCGAGGATCAAAAGAGGACTATATATTTCAGTCTTGCCTTCCCAAAGCTTGATAACGTAATTGGGGGATCGAAACCACCCGGCTGACGAGAGTCGAGAGCGGCTCGTGAATTTGACACGAGAACTGTGTAAGCACTTTACTTCGGCTTTATTAATCAGTGCCTCGGCAGACACTCGGGTAGTGGCTCGTGTTCAACCACTGCGGGGATGTGAATAGCCGAATTGTAACAATGCCTGGAGCTCAGCACGCATTTTCTACTCTGCCAACCCCAGCACGTGGCTATGATTAACGTTGGTGGCATATGATAGGCACCTGGTCACGTGACCGCTTGCTCTGGTTCCGAGTTGAGGGTATGAACGAGGCTGATATTTCTCGAATTTCTTTATCTACTGCCATCGCCTAGACATAAAAAAATAAGGCAAGTTTATTCATTTATTAACGTTAGGCAGTGATTCTATGTTTCTATTTATGGAAAAAGGAAAAATTGTTGCGTGAATCTTTTAAATGCAACGACAAAAAAATAAGCAAAAGTTATTGTGTATTTGGTAGTCGAAGTAACGAGAATAGTAACTCGCTGCTTCCAAAGTACATCAACACGTTTTTTTGTTTTTCGAGAATCGGTAACAAGTAACGTATTTAGTTACTTTTTGAGCGAGTAACGAGTAATGGTAGTTAGTTACTGTTTGGGGGTAACGTGTACTTGTCCGGTTAGAAATTTCAAATAGGTATTAAGCTATAAAAAATATGAAGACTGGAGAACTGTTCATTTGAGCTAAAATAGTTTACATGTGAGCTATATAAATGAGATCGTCAAAGCGTTTTGATTCCCTGCTGACAGTAAATGGTAGTAGTAAGATGGAGAAAAAAAATCTTAAAAAGCCTTTCATGTTCATGCACCAAACTTGTATCGTTTTATTATATAAACTTCAATCCTTCGAGTTGTCAACACTTTAACAAATACATACGTTTGTTTATTCTAGTCCTTGATTCGCGCCTCCCTTTTTTGTTTCATCTCTGTTTTACATTGTCCGTTCGACAGCACAATATAATGTTTTGGATTGTTTATTGAGGGTCTTTCGTTTTCGGGTAAAACCTGGTATTTCCCTATATTTACACGCCGATGATGTTCCTTGAAAATCGGGTTAAACCTGATTTTTCCCCGAATTCGGAAATTGAATTTCATCATCTTCCGAATCGCAATCGCTTTCCTCCGAAATTCTTTTCTTGGAAAGAAAGGGTTGGTAGGAACATGAGCGTTAGCCCCAGGCTTCGGAAATGAACCTAGATTTTGTTGGCTTCAGTGAACTGCAAAAACATATAGATAGAGCACCAAAATGTTGCTTTTCTATTTAGTGTTAAGTATCCTTAGCCCTTCCTCTCTTTTCGTTTCAACCAGACGTGTACGGTGCTAACTACAAGTAATCAAAAACTTGTAATCGGTTACTTTATGAAGTAATTTTGCGATAATTTAGTCACTTTTATGACGGAGTAATCACAGGTATTATATGATTACTTCTGGAAGGAGTACAACAACTTCTAACCGTTACTCATCTCGAAACAAGTGTCCAATGAAAAGATAGTTTACAAAAACTGGCAAATTAAGAAGTGAAGTAGTTTATAGTTCGGCTAATCTAATCCCAGACCCGTTCTAATACAGGCAGAAAAATTTGTCATTTTGAAAATCTGGAGTGATCGGAAAAGTAAAGGGTACTTTTCTATACACCGGCCAATTCCTTCACTTCATGAGTAATCGAGTAATCTAATTAAATACTTCTTCGCCAAGAATAATCCTAATCGATTAATTTTTTCGTGCAACTAGTACAAGTCTCGTTTCAACCAGCGTAACAAAAATTGAAAGATGAAAAACTACTCTCCAGATATTTTCTTTTGAGAGGAACAGCAGATATTTTGCTTCTGTCGAACAGAAGTGAAATTGTTATGCATTGTAAAGGTAGGCGTAAGCAATGATGTTGAGAGAACGTTATTTGGAATTAGGCATGTCTAGAGACCAGACATAACTAGGATTGAGACAGAGACGATGCACATGCAGAAGATTATGTAAGCAACAATGAGTATGAAAGTTCGAAAAGCACAAGTGAGCTCTCATACCCTGTTCCAATGCTATCGTGTGTACCTTAGAAACTTGACTGCAAAAAAAAAAAATATTTTTCATACATTGAAACCGATCAAGAATCTTTATAACCAATGTAACCGGAAAAACCTCAAATTCCAGGATAATGTTTCGAAAACCTGATTTCTCCCCGATTACCACCTTGGGACAAATTTAAGCACCAGAATCTTTCCCCCCGATTTTGCAAAAATGATAAAACCCGAAAATTAAGCATCCTATATAAACTTTGATTCGCTCACAAAATGTACGCTAGCTAAATTGACGCAAATCTATTGCATATAAACAATGAGATACATTTCGTCAAGTTCAGCTCGCATCATGCGATTATAGTCAATAGCAAGAAAGTTTAATAAATGGAACTGAGGTGAATAATAATTACTGTAGAAACTTCCGTGTAGTTGAGTGATGGTGTGAACGTATCCACTAAACATCGTAAATGCAGCTTATTAAGTTTTTTTATTAAAAAAAATGATGAGCATCTATATACGTGTCACTTTGTTTATATTTACCAATATCTTCTTTGCAGATGGCACTTTATTTTCAGGAGGCATCGTCACCGATAAAAGTTAGTTATCTGGGATCACGCAACCTTACTGTAAGATATCATCCTAAGAACTAAATCTTATTCAGAAACACTTCATATGCAAATTCTTAGGCAAGAGATTGATGTTTATTTGTCCTTACAGGAGGAAGAAGAACGCGACGTATTAGGAATCAAAGGAAATGAAGAGGATATCACTGTAAAAGGAGCTGACGCTATTAAAGCGCTCGTAGAGGTCACTATAAGCGAGGATTTCCTTGGATATAACAAGCTGTTTGTTGTCCTCACAGGGTATAAGCGAGTTATTGCGTTAATAATGAAGCCAACTACGAGATAAAATATACAAAAACTAATCAATTTTTTTTTTACGTTTAATAGATTAAATATTACCGAGGAAGAAACTAAACATAAGGCTAACAGAGATGCAGTCACTCCTAGCAGCGGCGACAGTTCCGATGAAGACTATGATGAATATATGAGCCTCAGCGCTCGTTCCGGCTCTAAAAAGAAAGTTTTTCAAAATGTACCCGGTAAGGAATATACATTTTGTCTGCCATGTGCCTTCAAGTTCCTCCGTCTACCCTCACATTGCGATGTTATTTTCTGCTCACATTATTATTCTAATGTCATTTAAGTACAAAAATAAAATATAGATTGTTTTCCAAAACGCTGGCCAAATCGTTCCTGCAAAGATTGCACATAGCTTAGAACGAAGGGCGATGCCATATTGGTCTCTACCGAAGTACTTGGTTAAGAATATGAATAAACTTCGGTATAATTAGGCTCTTAATTATTTTTGAGTACTTAAAGTTTGAAATCGTAAATTTAAGGGTATGATTGAAAATAAGACGTAATCAGTACACTTTAAAAAATACAAGGCACACGCGGCATTTTACGGCGTTCCGTAAAACACTGAGTAGGTTTTTGTTTCCTATCGGAGCGTATCTCTGCGCCATCGGTCCTGTACCTCTTGCTAAATCTCACCACTAACGTGTGCCACAATTAGTTTCCGGATGTTGGAACTAAACCCAAGAAATGAAAACACTTTTTTGCAATGTCATTCCAAAAGGGCAGCGTTTTATTTCATCATCTCTCGATACACCTTTTTCCAATAGGAACAAAATGAGGTGGCAGTTGGGCACTTTAACCGCGGGGACGTGAACTTACAAACGAGTCAAAATTGAGGGTTTTTTTTTTTTTTGGAACGCTGCAAAAATGTGCGCTTCCCTTATGTTACTATTTCTTTTTGTAAATTGCGCATATTTAGTGGTTATCGATTATGCCTAGAAATGTTCTAATTGAAATCATGCCTTTAAATGTCCTAATTGAAAAGGTAATTACGTACTCAATAGTAATTAAGAACATAATTATAGCCAAGTTGATTACTTTTACCTAATAGGCCCTTTGACATACACAAATATGGCACAGACGCTTTTTCTTCTGTGCGATGCGTACTTTCCACAACAGCGACTTGGCCGGCGTTTTCTGAAGCACCCTATACACTTTAAAACCTTCTGCGTAACGCTTGGTGGGGCAACCAGGGTACCGATTCTAAGTTATTCAAAAACGTACCCAATGAGCTGAAACAGGTTAACTTAAGCTCTTGGGACTGAGTTTCAACATCTGCTCACCATCCAAATAGAATTCGAGTTTTTTTAGGTTTGCTATATAATCAAAATGCGAATTAAGTTTTTGGGCGATTCACCGTGAGCTGCTTTTAAAGCACTGCAATCGGCAATATAGCTGTGCCTGTTATTTGAGTGTCAGTTTTTGTTTTATATCAACAGTGCCTTTGTGATTTTTGCCTTGTGGCTCTTTGGGATTGTCTTTTATAAAGTCACAGCTGTGTTTGAAGGAATTTTTTTCTTTACAGTTCTTTCAATTAGGCTTCCCATCCTCAAATACTAAAATATCTATTCGTGAAACTAACTCCCGCAGCTGTTTCTTTTTATTTAGCTTCATTGTGAGCAGGGTTGTTATACTAATCGATTAACATGTAGTACACTTTACGCACACTGTTAGAAGTGGCACTTGCACTTTACTTTGGAAGGGCATTGGCGGACATAAAATTTTACCGTTTCGGTTAGTGCCCCAAATGAGTACATTCCACCATACCGGTAGTTTTGATGATATGCCTTTGATGCTGAGGGTAACAAACAAATACGGACGATTGCTTCTTTGCGCTAACAATGTCTCGCAGTGTGCGTGCATAGCCCGACGCCTTTAGCGCGAACAAGCAATTTCTCGTTTTTGCTGCTCCTGTTTTGAAATCAAAAGGCTGTCGTAAAACTACTGGAAAGTGCGCAATTAAGGAACTAACCTAAGCGCCAAGGTGATTTTGAAGTAAAACAAAAACACCACTAATGTCGTGTTCGCACTAATTCTGTTACGCACTACATGTTCACCGATTAATGAATTCTTACTCGAAGCGGTTTAATGCATTAATCGGTAAAAAGTTAACTTTTTACTGTATTTGTTTGTCACAATCATCACCTTCGTCGTTGTTAAACTTAAAATAAAGAATTTAGCCACCATAGAACGGGACTATTCATGACAAAGGTCATAAAAAACTTATCATAAGGTATACCACGTTTGCTGCTCAGATTTCCGCTGAAGAACATTCCTTCTTATTTACTGTACGTATCCTTTTCCATCTTGCCATTTCCTGCGGTAAGGTTATGAGAAATCGCTAATGCACAACGCAGGTTTAAAGAAAGTCTACGCTTTCACATTTGAATCTATTTCCTCCTAAACAACCTTCCATCTATATAAATAACATTTGGTAGCTCAGGAAGCTTACGTCAGTAAAAATAGTAGTACATTTCATTTTGTCCTGTCCTTTCTATGCCTTTGTCATCAGATATTTGAAGGCATGCCAAACAAATTTATCAAATAAAATTACTTCCTTAAAACGTAATTTTCCGGCATTGCTAAGACCATGGGAATCCCAGTTAATATTTCCGCTTATGTACATCGTTATATTTATAATGTTCTAGTATTTGAACAAATTAATCATGCTCCGTGTTACTCCGCTTATCCGATTAATAATTCACGGATTGATCACATAAAATGTTTAAATTAGTGTACAGCCCTTATTTTATTACTACGTAGGAGGACAAAATCATTTATTAAAAATCAAATCAACTTTATTTTATTAAATCATAATTATTTGTGTTTAATCAGGTTTATTTGGTTTAAATCAGATTAATTTGATTTAAATCACTGAAACTAAAAATAGTCCTTCTTTAACGGAAGATGTATTTCTGAACATAGCAAATGTATTTATGAGTTTGTACAACCACTGATAACTTTGCAGATGAAGTAGTTACTTTAAATGTAAAGTGCAGTTTAATTCACAACTTTTTATTGGTATAGTTGCCTCCACATTGGAACAACAACAGTCTAGTTTATTTAGTTCAAGCTACTTATCCCAGTGATCTTTCAGTTTGTAGTTAATTGCAATCAGACAATCTTTTCGTTGTCGTTTATTTTGCGCTCTGAATTTGTTCCAGTAAAATGTTATGTAGCTGCCGAACAAAGTGAAGGCGTATATCGAGCTCAACGCTCCATGTGCACAGAAAAGAATTTCTTCTTTATCGTGTTCAGTTTTATACAAATCTTTGCTGCTTGACGATTATTTCATTTAAATGCGAAAGCATTAAATAATAGACAGTCCAAAATACAAGGTATTTTCGAACTCATATTTCCGGGAATGAATTGATTTAATTTGTCATAGTAGGTATGGTCTGATATAAATCACGATCTAAATTATAAGGATTTTTACTTCTCATCCTGCTCATATGTTATCATTGTCTAATGTCTGCACATTATAGCCGCTTATTATAGCCATTGACAGGTTAGAAGTTCAAGGAAAGCTCCTCCCAGCTCTTCCAACTTTGGCACAGCGAACGCTGAAGAGGAGGCGACATCCTCTCCAGCGTTCGCTCTGCTAAAGTGGAAAGAGGTGGGAAGAGCTTCCCCTTAACTCTTATCTTGTCACCGCCAATAGTGCTTATTTATATATTTTGTCACAAGCAACTGATTAGCGTGTTGGTGCACACCGATGAACAAAACAAAGTACATAACGTAAACACAGAAAGCAATGGTTGACACGAGTACACGTTTCCGCAGACAGACGTAATACTTCCTCAAACGCGTGAGTGAGCACGTAACCCGAAAGATAGAGGGGTGAAAAGTTACATTCCTTTATTTTTTTCCCCTTCTTGTCCTCCTCCTCCCTTTCCCTCTTACTACTTTCCTTTTTCAGGTTGCCAGGTTGCTGGCGTGTTTTGGGCAATATATGTTTCTTTTTATTTGAAAGTTGGCGCGGTTTGCTTTATGGGTGTATTCTTTCTGGTCTTAATCGTTTTTTTGGAACCTCCTTAATATGTTTTCGTAACCGCTCAATCTACGAGATAAATTTTTGTGACATATTTTATTATCAAATCTTCTCATATGAACCAAGGGTTATCACAATATGGCACCATTTGTGGCATGACGAGCGCCATTGTCCAGGATTTTGGAAGCAATTTTAGCGGAATCCCTTCTGCAGCTTCGCAAGTTGCAACCGTGTAAGTACCAACACATTTTAGCTCAGCGTTGTGGGCGTACAATATACAATGTGTAAGGTGATCAGACCCATTCTATTATATTGTTGCTATGATACATCTTGCTGCTGTTGGTAAACTCAGTCTGTGAAAACAACATTAAAGCTCAAAGCAGAGCAAGTCAGTATATATGTCGCAAGGCAGCAGAGCTGAGCAGATATACTCTAAAATTATTCCGAAATACAAATACCGCGATGCTTGTATTTTAAGGCCAAAATATAGATACTGATATATATTTACGTTTTATGTAACGGAAAATCCCTAAGATACTTTTTCAAAAACGGCCAAAAATTATCCCGTGAAAGACATACATACAGGTATACTTTATTTTCCACGCACGGCGGTAGATACAGAGAAGGGCAGTATGCGGCGAATGCAAATGGCGGTGCTTACATTTCATTCCCTGTGCCAGCTTATGCCCCTCCCCTTAAATCGAACTCATCATATACTTGATCCTAATATCCCGAATGCGAAGAAAAAAAATAACATTTTGTTAGTGACCCTCGTAGGTACTGGAAACAGGCGGCTGAAATTTGCATGCTTGACCAAAGGAGTCTGCCCCAAACGAACTGTGTTTTGACGGAAGGATGCGTCTCATACTGTCGTCTTAATTCCTTCTGTGTCACCCAGGCTGCGGAGATTGGGTAACAGAGTCCTGCCTGTCTGCACTCAGTGTCACTCATCCTAGTCTGCAGGAAACCTGTTGCAACATAAAAGGAAAAGAAGACCCTCCCACAAGTCCTTTAATGTCAATTACTGGTAGTTTCTTTCTGGCCACTTGCATCATATCCAGGGTTCATTTCACAAAAGTGCAAATAGTAAAGGGTCGTTCGGGAGAAGGTAATCATAATAGCTGGTTTTAAAGCGACGTTTCCCCAACCCACTTGTTTTTTCCTTGTTTTTTGTTTTTACTTTTCTTTCTTTTTTATTTGTCGCTCGTATTTTGCATGTAATTCGTGCCGACGCTTACTGTTTAACAGAGGAAACACTAGAAGGACACTGCTACTGCGAACACCTTAGAGAGCCAAGATTTAAAAGAGGGAGCAACTCAAGTCATGACGAGCGTTTGCAATTTAATGGCGGATGCCTCCTGCGCAGATTGGTCGCAAAAGCGCATGCGTTGCGTTGTTGTGTGCCGATAAAGAAAGCGGGTGGAGAGACAGACGCACTTGCAGGCGATTGCCACTTTCGTCCCGTTCCAGCAGGTGGCACTCCAGACGTAGCTCATAAACCACGTGACCCTATCGAGATGTTAGAAGCCCTCCTAAAGATAGGCACACTAAATGATCTCCATTTATCGTGGCGCCATTCTTTGAGTGGCAGCATCAAGCAGACCGATTTTTGTTCTGTGCGTAGAAATGTGTCTTTTTCTTAAAATGTTTTACCAAAAGCACACATTAACGAATTTTGACTACGATAAATGCTCCACCTAAACACATATCTGTAAACAGCTCGATTGCAATCAATTAATTTAACGATTTATAAGCTTCACTTTACGACAGAAGAGTATTAGGTCTGTATTTTTCAGAAACGCTCTGTATTTTTCAGAAACATCACTCATACTGCTCTTATGCATAAGCCCATCATTTTGCTTTTCTCTGTCTGTGTTCGCTAGAGTTTGTGAAAGTATCTAGCGTGTCGTGCTTGTGCAATGATTTCAGACTTGGAGCAAAATACAAAGGAAATATTTCTAGGCGAGTCTGCCTTGCGTATGAACCCGGCCCCACAAAGTTCGATGATGATGAGTGCTATATAATCTTGAATTACGGTGATCAAGAAGAGTAAGTACTATCGATATAAATAAAATAATAAACGTACTTCAAAACTTTAAAAATAACGTCTATGCTTAATCAATTACAGTACCACATGCGGTCGTTGAAACAAATGATATGAAATAAGAACACCAAACCAAACTTATATTCGCCCGTTCACTAATGTGACCAAAAAGCAAATACCGCAATATATTGTTCGCTCGACTAAAAACTTTTTTTCAGAGTCACCAAAGAGGAGCGTATTGCTCTATATAAAACAAAAGCACCTTCCTATTGCCCCTCCCCACCCCCCCCCCCCCCCCCCCGCCCCCCCCCCCCATCCCCCACCGAAGCTGTTTTTGTTTTATATGAAGAAACACTTTCGGGACCAAACCGTGCTGATTTTCTAAAGTATTAGAGAACTTAGACGCCTTTAAGTATGTGCTTCTTTGATACTATACCAGCAATTTAATAACAAACCTGGAGCACAAACAAACGTGAGCATATGATGGATGCATGTCTGCAACAAGCCCCTTTGTTCCATCGACGGGCAACCCCCAATTATGTATATTGTAGTGGGGTGGATCGCGGATCGAGGCATGTGCTGCTGTGGATCTGTGGTACCAATGTTGAGTTGGTCCAACCAGTGCTTAGCCATCGCTTTACACCAGAAAATGTATGGAACTACATGAACTAACCGAAGAAAACTGTTGTTTTAAACTTTGTTAGATTGTCTGCACCAATGAAACGTCTATAGTATTTATCAAAAGTCTTGCTCTTTCTCTATTTCATACTGCACACACTTGAGTCGTCCCAGCAGGATTTACATATCGTGCTAAAACATTTAAATTGGCAAAAGACCGAACTTAGGCTCTAGTTACATACGTTTGGAAACGACAAGAATGACTAACATAAATATATCCACGTGTTTACTTAAAGGTGTGCGAACACCGTTCGCAGGCCCTACTGCTCAAATATATGTATCTTCACTCCGCCGAGACACAAACCATTTAGCTGTATCATACTCACGCCTCACTGTATGCATTTGACAATCGAGATATTCACTGAGACGAGTTTATGTAATTAGTGCAAATAGATGACATCTATGATAAATGAGGAGTGGTTCACCAACAGTGTGGCCCTTTATAAACTTTTTAGACTGATGCAGGTACCGTCAAGAATCAACTTTGACTTGATTCTGTGCGATAGAAAGTGGTAAATCCTGCAATATCTTCGTTTTGATACCTTCAGCCACCGACTTCTTAAGCAGTTTATTCTGTTCTTTTTTTTAGCTTCTCATCTCTTTAATATATATTTAATACGTTCGGTGCGGGGAGATCATAAAAATACATGTAAAAACCGCAAATATTATTTTGGCTAGCGTGCCCGGTCTGCCGAGGGTCAAATCATGTTTAGAGGCATAAATAGATTACATCCGTTCAGCTCTTTAAAAATACATTTATGTTGCATACCCGATTCTGCTGCCAAAATTACTGTATTAATACTTAAAAAACAAGCGAGCTGGTGATGATTCATGGTAATAATACCCGAGACTCAGGAACAAAGATGGGGACGAACACAACACATTGAGACGTTGTGTTGTGTTCGTCCCCTTCTGTGTTCCTGAGTTCCTGAGTCTCGGGTTTTATTACCATGAAAATTACTGTAGTATCCTAAAATTTTGTAGACGAATAGTCATGTCAACGAAACACAAGCAAATATGTTCACATGCCGGAAATATCATATGCGCATAGAGATTTATCAGGAATATACTCGTGGTTAAAATAATAAAGAAGCGAAGTGTAATTTCGCATTATCCTAACAAAATATCCCTTCATAATTCTCGTGTTTGTTATCGTTGACCAGCCTATTACTTGTGTCATAATATAGCTATGTTCGTGCCTATAATTATGAGTTTGGTGTTCATTCTATCTTAGAAGTATTTGCAAAATATTCGTCGGAATTGCAAGCTCCGGATCTAAATACAAGACACAGTAAAAAGTCTTTGCAATTTAGTTAAAAAAATAAATCCCACGATAGGCTGTTGTGCTTCAAATATCGTTTAGCCCTCCACCTAAGTAAGCTGTTCACGCTGGCCCAGGGTCCTGTTGAGAAATAACACGTGGCCTCAGCACCTTTAAGGGGCCATGAAATAACCTTCTTACTTTTACCAGATAACTTTTACAGTAAACCTTCAACGTTCACTGAATGCCGAACAGGCATCTGTTTTCGTCTCGGTTCATTAACTTGTACACAAAAAATTATTGAACTATCGACTATTTCTTTCTTTTCAACTGACCGCAAAACAAGTTGCGGCGTAATTTTGAAGGTCGTGACGTACCCTGGCACAGGAACTGGAAGTTCTCTCGGCAGTAGAAGGATGGGAGCGTTAGCGGCGGCGAGTTGGGGGTCATATTGAATGGGTTAAAACAGCGCAGGAAGACGAAGGACCAGTGCAGCAGTAAATATTTCAGTTGTAAGTCAGCGCTGTGTCTGTGTGTTTTCTTTTACTGGTCCTTCGTCTTTCTGCGCTGTTTTAACCCATTCAATATGACCATCAACCAACTCGCCCAACTCTCCACCTTGTTGGAGTTGGGGGTGCGCCGTATATAGGTTTTACTGCGCTGATGTCACCGACGAATTTTCTGAACCGGCGCCTCTCATCGCCACGATAGCCATGGACGCATCTCAGCTGAGCCAAATTCAATGAGATATGTTGCGCTACAGCGACAGCATGGGACTAGTCCCATACGCCGGTATGCCTGTTGGGAAGTGCGGCGAGTGTTCCGGTGAAGACTCCAGAAGTCAACCCAACTGTTATTGTCGGTAAAAGGCGGCCCGTTTCAGTCGTTTGCAAAGCGACGTAGATGGAAACGAATTGCCGCGGCATTTTCCGCGGCCTCGGAGATGCAGGAGCGAGCCGACGTTAAAAAAGATACGTTTGAACTACGACAGTTTCAGCAAGAGCCACGTAAATACCTGTTCGCACTCGGAGCGGACGCGCGCGTTTGATGAAAGTGCTGTATTCGCGCTGTTGGTAACCGCTTCGGGACCGATCTTTTACGATTGCAACTCGATATTGACGTGACACTCGGCAAAGGAAGGTTGGACCGGCATCGCACGTAGCTCCCACGAACTGTTATAGCTCGACAGTGACGTGCAGTCCTGTCAGAATAAGAATGGCATACTAATAACAAAGTGTGCGTACCGTGTTACGAAGGTAATCCATACTGCGTTTATTCGAGCTCTATATCACACAAAACAAGGAGATAGAATCGACGAGAGTCCCTTTTCGACGACAGTGTTCGTCAACACTGCCTCCTAAAACAAGGAGATAACAAGGGGAAGAGATTGACCTCACCTCTTAATGTAAAATTGAGGTCAGCGATCAAACTATAACACGGGAAGGGTCCACAAGGGTCGCATGGGCATATTTCATTCAGCACGCCAGCCGGTCGTGGGCAGACGGTCTTGGCCAAGTACCGTCGATGCAACGCTCTGCCGAGTCGGAGTGCCTGCTAGGCCTATATTCTGCCCAGCTCGCTTGGTCGTGGTCGGTGAATTCGTGGTCTCTGTAGCTTTTCTCGGGTGTTTGTGGATCCACCGTTCTTGTTCGTCGTGGTCTGTTTCAAGTACTTTTTCCTTGCTGCTTGAAGTCGGGACACGCGAGAAAAACACGTAAAAAACAAACGTTCGTTGGTCGTCCCGACCAAGTAACTGACCTCACTGAGCGACGCTGTCGGCCCTACTGCGCAAGCGCAGTAGTTGCTTCGTTTACCACACGATAGATGGCGCTTGGCTCTCAGCATTATGAAATTTGGCCATTTTCGTCACATCTCGAATTATGCTACAAAATGTGGATCTGAATATTATTTAACAAAACATTTAGGAAATATTCGCCGGATATTTATTGTTTATGATCGCGGTGTTGGTGAGGTAGGCTCTTACCCAATAGGCGACCTGGATTCGGTTGACGTGCTGCAACTCCGCGGATGCATCGCAGTGAAAAGGAAGAGAACTTTCGAAGGAAAGAAGGCGCAAACAGTCCAGTTTTTTTTAAAGTTCTATAGCAAAGAATTTTTTTTGGCTCCCTATTTCTGCGTTTTTGTGTTTCTTTTCACACCTTTTGCGACAATCGGTAGATGAAATTTGATTTCAGAATCGTTTCATGATCCCTTTAAAATGGCACCTCCCTTGAAAGCTCGCACCAGGGAGGAAAAAAATGGCTCAGTAATCCAGTTTTTGGCACAGAAGCTGAAAACCCCGCGGATATCCATTGCAGGATGTTGGAGCAGTGCGGAGGCGCCCGTATATAGCTTCGACAGGTGTATGAAAAGTTCAAACATTGTGAAAGCGTAAAGCCTGACTGGCACACATCACTCCGGCCGGGCGCACACTTCGACAACTCCTCACTCAATATCAGAAGTTGAACGGCTTGTACACTAAAAACAGCCATGTCCCTATCAATGAAATGTCTAAAGGATTGAACTCGGTGCACCCCCGGATTCGTAATATTCTGCAGTACGATAAAGTGTGCGTCAGGAGGGTAGCAAAGCCACTTACGTCAAACATTAAGGAGGACCCCGTGGATATGTGCAAAAGGTTGCTTCGATACAATGTAGCAGAGAAATATGATTTTCTTCGACAACGCAGTTTCATTAGGGACAAATAAAGAATCCAATTAGCCTAGCCAGAGACCAAGCGGGCAAGCCGGAAGCGGGGGCACACTTCGTCACACAGACCAAAGAAGCTTCGGGCGTTTCCGACGCAAACCAATGTAAAGGCCAGCTCACATACATGGGACCCCTTAGAACCGACCGCCTTAAAACCTCTTAATATCTCTTACGACAGGAGAGCACACTAGCACGCTGGCTCCATGTATGCGTTGACCCTGGAACTGCTTTTCACTAGCGGGAAGGTATGGCGGTATATGAGAGGTCAGATGTACTATCGTGGACACTATTAGCTATAACACGGCAGCGGCGGCCGTCCCGTACCCCCAGCGCCCCATAGCAGGCGTCGTCCGAAACACTGAGCACGCGCCGTGTGGCGGACTCGCTCTTCCTGCCTCCGAGCACACCCTCGCTTTGTTGTCTGCTAGGCAGAGAGCAGATGACGCCACAGCGCTCGCCAATTTTCGCTGAACACGGTTCAGCGAACCACTGCGTAAGAGGTGCAAACGGTTGATTCCCTGACTTCGCTGGCTAAGGATAATCATCGCCACTAAATGTAATATCACGGTATATTAAAAATTTTTATGGGACAAACTTGCAGTTATACTCCGTTTCACTTTAGGTCTAAGCGCAGCGGACGCTACGAGACGGTAGGACCAACCAAGCAGCGACAAAAGCACACTTTTTGCACCTTATTGGGTCCCCCGATGATGTACTCAGTGGCGTTGCACCTTTGCCGCTATTTGATTGGCTCTGTCGTTTTGTAGCGTACGCTGCGGTCGGACTCAAGGTGAAACGGAGTATAACAGTCTATTTCTGTATCACACCTGCTGCGCTCTTACTGTTTTGCGAAAGCATGTTGTTAAAAATGCATTGCGGACGCCTGTTTCTAAAAAAGAAAAAGCTTATACTGGGGTAGTGCCCTAATGACTGTGCAATCTGCCCCAATAAAAATCTCCGGTTGAAAATGAGTTTGAGACCAGTTCGCTATGGCGAGGGTACCAGACGAGCAGCACTGTGGCATCGCCTGCTTTGCGCCTAGCAGACGACAGAGCGAGGGTGTGCTCGCGAACGGGAAGAGCGAGTCCGCCACACGGCCTATGCTCGAGTTTCAAACGGCACACGTGCTATGGGACGCTGGGGGTACGGGACGGCCGCCGCTGCCGTGTACCACGCGAGGTGTCCCGTGGCGAGGTGTCCCGCCACGGGACACCTCGCCAGTGAGTCCTTTGACTTCCCTCCTTGATGCGCATCTGCTAGTTGTTAGACAAAAACAGCGTACCGCTCGAGTTATTTCGTCTGCCCTCTCTGAAAGGCGAAGTCGAGCTCGCTCGCAAAAAGACATGCACTTCCGAAAGTCGCAGGAAAGGTAAGACAGACGCAGACGACGTTGCGAGCAGACGACGTTGCAAAGGAGCAGACGACGCCCAGATAGGGGGTCGCGATCAGCCAATCAGGGCTCAGCGTTCTGACGTCACCGCTACCCCCTGCTCAAGAAGCAGACGAACTTGCCCTCCGCATAGCTAACGGTGTCCACAATAGTACGTACTACTTGTTCGTTTGTAACACTGAAAAAAGTTTTTCAAGCGAAGTACAAAAGAACGATGCGCCAAAGAAATTGAAAATATACGAGACCGCCCAGTGTTCCATTGCTAGCCGATAGGTGGTGCTAGCGTGTCCTCTCGTCGTTAGAGATTTTAAGAGGTGTCAAGTGACTCGGCTTTAGGAAGTCGCAAGTCCGTGAATGGGCTTTTATTGTCACGGTGTTCTGGGAACTTGAAGGACAGGTAGTCGAACATTATATCCCCAGAAGATTGTGTCGAGAACTTGTCGTATCGGGATCTGCTCGAGAACACCTGGAAGTCTGCGATCAGCTCAAAGCGCAGTGGTTTGCTGACCTTTAGTGCGTGGCTGCCGAATAGCAATGCGAACCCCAAATGGCACGTGCAACAGCAGAAAAGAAATCAAGGAGTCGAGGTTTTCAGTGCCTTTTGCAGGCGCATGCATACTCAAAGGATCTGGCACCGAGCAATTTTATTCTTTTGTGACAACTAAATGCAATTATTAGCGGAATAAAGTTCAATACAGATGATGAGCTAAAAGCGGCAGTGAATCCCTGGCTTTGTACTTATCACCAAGATGTTTTCTTCTGCGACCTCCACGTGTTGGTGAAGTGTTGACGCAGATGTGTTGAGCGCGCAAAGGCCGGGGGGGGGAAGGGGGCACTATGCTCGGAAGCGGCAAATCACTTTTAATTATGTATTTATTATTATGCAGATAAAAATATATTGCGGCTGCTTTTTTTACTCTGCCTCGTAACAGTGTCTTTCGTTGTAATAATCACAACTGTAGCAAGATAATTGTCATGTTCTTTATAAGTGTATTGTCCTAGTCAGATATCATTTGTTCACACTTACGCATGATTGAATGGCAATTTGGAATGATTTAGACTTTATAATATGTTATATTAATTTTAATATAATATCATGTGTTACGTTTCTTAATTTCATGTCTTTTTCATGTTAAACCTATATATATTGGTAGATTTGTGCGATCGTCTGCAGAGAAGACAGGACATGATGACAGACTACAGTATTATTTATTAAAAGTCAGTCCCGCCGAAAAGGAGTCGCGCGGCGTCATTCTCGTCATCTTTACCATCTTCCTGATATAATGAACCCTAAAATTGTAAAGACTAGAGCATGCAGATTTCTTCTTTTTTTTCCATGTCAGAATAGAAGTTATGTGCTCTTATGGAGTTCAACATTGGTATCGCTCTTTAGGAGTATGGCCTTACTAATATTCAAAGTATCTGTCAAGGTAATCATACTTTTCTGCAGGGGTTTTGAGTGCCTGGAGGAGCCCATTAAGGATGCTGAGACCGAGTTGATGACACCTAATCAATTTTATGCAAAGTACTCCAGCTGGTCTCCGTGCAGAGCTTCCTACCTTGGTTCTCAAGAGTGTCAGGTGTGTTACTCATTACAGAAACCAAGAAAAAAAATCAATGAGTTTTGTTTTATGGTTTTATTTTTTCATAGGAAAGTAGAGTTCGATTCATCCACGTAAACTTTCTTAAAAGTAGTTGGAGTGCACTTGATGTGGTTCTTCGAACTGGCGCTTTATTATGGGATTGCGCCGACGCGACAGGGCAAAACGAAGGAAACTTTCTTTCTTGTCCATTTTGAGCATCCATTTTCACTTCGTCTGCATCTGCTGCCCGGCGGCGTAAACTTTCGTAGGCAAAATCGGTGTTTCTCTTATAACTTTTTTCTCTTAGACACCAAGTTTTGAAAACGGTAGCTTTTTGAAGTGGAGTAGGTACTTACAGAGGCGTAGACTAAAGGGGGCATCGGGGCTCGTGCCCCCCTGGCGAGATCCAAGGGGGGCGGAGCACCCCCCCCCCCCCCCCCCCCCCCCCGGGTTCGGGCCATGATCCTTACCTAGACGCTGTTTACGTGCCATGTAAGGAGTATTTAGTAGTAGCATGTAAACAAAATACTGCCCACGTTGCCTTTATTGAGAAAATTCATGAAAAATGGAATCCTTTTCTCCTTCTTAATTTATTTAATGAAAAAGTGTTGCACCTAGTCAGACATCTAACTTTCTTTTCTAAAATTTTATCTTACAGAATTCCAGCGAGTCGTCATCCGAAAATAGCAAATGCACTATATCGTGCTGCGCTGAGTATAGTTGTTTTCAATTAAACGTGAAGTTAGGTGACATTGCTGCTCCGGACGGTGAGAACTGTGACGCTGACAAGGTACGAAGAAGTAAATGACGCACTATTAGAATTAAAAAGTATTACAATTAGGCATTGTAGAAGAAAACATGAATAATCCTCACTGTGTAAAGAAAATATAGTAAGGGTGCAGGTGAGCTGGTAAATATTAACCACGTCGAAATAACCTGAGACTGGGGTAGAACGTAAACGTCAACATCCATTAACGGCACGTGACTTCAAAATTAATTCAATTCCTCGCTAAATTGGCAAAATTAAAAATTGACGTCACGTGACCGTTGGGGTCACTTGACGTCCATTTTTCCGCCAAATCTAGAGGAGAAACTGAATTTGTTCACAGGTGCATGACTAGACACCAAGTCATGTGACACCACTGATTCCCACTACATTTAGCGGGGAAACTGAAATGGAGGAGGTGGGCAGAGGACTGGATCGAGAAGAAAAAGGAGGGGCATACCGTCCCTTTCGTACAGTCCCCTTCTCCTCCTCAAGAGCTGCGCTCTAATTCCGCGTTACAAGGATTTGCAAACGTTATTCACTTTTTTCTTCTTCCTTTTTGGTGTTTCTCTTCTACCCCATCCTCAGGTTAATTCGACACGGTTAATCCTCATTCTGGGTATTTTTTTTTTCAATAATTTTCACGTCAAAGTAAAAGGTGAGTAGAGATGCCACGGTGTTTGAGACGTACGTGAAATAAAACCGTGCAAAAGAGGAACCGAAATAGCCGGGAAAAGACAGATGTACAGACGAAATGGCAACATTTAACAAGACGCAATAAGCGATGAGAAGAAACTTTGTGTGAGCTATAGATTGTTTTTTTCTTTTACTCGGTATTGGGCTTTCTCTCCGTAAGGTAACAATGATAAAAAAGAAAAAAAAAACACGAATGAATCATTTTGTGCCTTTTAGAATATCCGGGCCTTAGGTACATGTCTATAGAAGGTGTTTCACCACTGTGTTTATCTTACTTCTGGGTGCGGTAATTTTCTTCACCGTTGATATTAAATTGAATATATTATTTGCTTCTCAATCTTTCAGATTTGCGTGGGAGGCAAATGCATCGTGAACACGACATCTGTTGGAGGAAAGTAATTGCTCAATTTTAAGATGAGCATTGTCGTCGCGATAATAAAGATAACATTAGTGTCTGTATCTCAGCTTCTTATGGGTTGTTATTTGTAAGGGCTAAGTAATCCAAGGACGATGAACAATTTTAATAATCCAGGTAAATATATATATATATATATATATATATATAGATATAGATATATATATATTGTGGCAATAGCGATAAGCCGTGAAACTTTTACGAAAAGGCAGTTGGAGGTCTGGGATATCCAATGCCTGTCAAATTACCGAATGTCTATACCGGCCACCAAAAGTATTTTCGGCACTTGTACACTTCTAGCCAAAAGCGCCGGCCTATGCAGAAACATGTAAGCAAAAAAACACGACTCTACAAAATTGACGTTGGGTTCATTTTTAGAACTGCGCTTGAATACCGCGAATCCGCTAACACAAGCACCATTAAAAACACAGTAAATTATCTTGTCACATACACTTTTAAATCTTTGCAAGAAATTTAAAAATTTTTAAAATCGCCGGTCCAGGAGGCTCTTGTATGAAAATATATAAAGACGTGCTAAAGCGAGCGCAGGAAGTCTCCCAACCAAAAAGGCAAGATCCGGCTTTCTCTGTTGAAGTGCTGTGGCCTGCATTGGGCTCTCCCATAGTCTCTTTTTATCCCCCATCGTGGCTTATATTTTAACCCCAAGATTGCTTTTTGATGCGTCTTCCCTCTCCTGTCTAATCCTCGCAATGTTTCATTTTCAAAATCCTCAAACCTGGTTTATACCAGGGGGCGCCAATTATTTCCATAATGATGGATTATCGCTGGAATATTTAACGTGAATAGTAATTTGCACAGCCGAGCACAAAGTTGAACCGATCGCAAATTTGACGGGTAAATAACTGAATGATGAACAGGAAACAAGCCAGTACCAAAGACTCGAAATGCTAACAAAGAAACCCACAAAAGAAATTAAGTGAAAAACACAAAAAAACGCGAAGAGCTTTTTTGTGTGTGTGTGTGTTTAACTTTGCTAGGACAAGAACAGCGATAGCCCGACAGCTTCATAAGCATAGCGATTTCAACAAGACTAGCCACAAGCTACACGCAGGATGAGCTCTAAAAAGCTGTATACGCCTTCTTAAAGGGGTTTCTAGAGCTTAATACGAAGAAATCATTAAGAAAAAACAAAAAAAAACAGACAAACGCGAGGATGACAGTAGCGCTTTTTTGTGTCCATCTGTGCCTTTCTTTTTGAAGTTTATCCATCTTTGAATGCAGCGTTTGGGGTACCCTACTTTAAAAATGCGCGGCAAGGATTATTCCTAGTAAACGTCAGTTCTCCTTGTTATTCACTCATTCTTTCGCGTATAATACAAAATCTGTTTCAAGTGATCTACGGATATAGTGACTCCCGGCGCTTTCCTGACAAGAAGTAAAAACAGGATTGTATTGTAAACCAAGTCAGATTGGTGGAATGACATTGGGAGCTCAAATGACAAAGCGAAAGCTGGGTTTTGAAGAGCCCCGAGATGGAATCGTTATCAAGGGAGAAAAGAAAGGTTGTTGCGGTAATGGAGATAGAGATGCTCCCGTGATCCATAGAGGAAGACCATAGCGATCTAACCATTCACTCCTACACTTTAGTCGACGACCGAGAGAGAACGGCAGGCAAACCTTTCAGTTGTCCCGCCCCCAGCGCAAGCCTCTTAACTTTGATGACGCTGCAGCATCTCGTGACCCTCGTGGGTGGACGCTCAGCCAGAAAACGGAGGAAGGCAAGGAGCGCTGGCGGAGGCCGCCAGCGCTCCTTGCGTCCATGCATCCATGCACGACCGATTTGCGTATTAAAAAGTTGATCAAAGATCTCGACACCTATCTGTGGCGCAGAACGACAGATGGCGCTACCGAACTTTCCTGAAAATGGCCAAATGACGCTTGACGCTTGTCAGCGACTCGTCAACGATGAGTCTGCTAAAATATTTTAATTTTGATAAGTCAATAAAATGTCTTGAGCAAGGCAGTACCGAATTCGACATTTCAAGTGTACGAAATAGAACATAAACAAAACTGTGCACATTTCTTTATAAAACCCTGTTGGACACGTAATCAGAATACGTAGCCAGATTAAGCTGCCTACAGACCTCCAATTTAAACCAATACGACATTTGGCGAGCGTGCTGCGAATTCAGCTTGAAATTCAATACTCTGCGTAAAAAATTCCACCCCACGTAAAAGGGCCTTCCCAACAGACATCCTCAGTAGTAGGTTAGTAATAACGTTAAACAAGCCTAAAATGCCTCCCTCAATCCTCGGTGATCCGGTATCAAATTAAACCACCTCTTATGTTGAATTTCCAAAACGTGCAATAAATATTCTAAATATTAGCGGAAAGTGCCGTTTTGGAGGTGTCACAGGTAGTCCAAGTTGGGCATGCCCACACCTTCCCACTTTGAAGCTCACACCGTAGCTAACTTGACCACCACGGAGCAGAGGCGAAACCGTGGAATGCGGGTTTTGCACGTGGGTTTTGCATGGGCAGCCCGATCTGGGCATGCCCACGCTTTGCCGCTGTAAAGGCCACACCGTTGCTAACTTGACCACCACGGAGACGAGGTGAGACCCAGGGGCGTTTAACACGGGCAGCCCATGTCGGGCATGCCCACGCTTTTCCTCCATGAACCCTATACATCAACTCGTGTTTACAAACAAGCCGGAGCGCTTCTGGGCCCTAGTACACGCCACGGGTGCCGCGCATGCGCGACGGGGGTGTAAGCAAGAAGCTCGCCGTCGCCCAAAAACACACCATTGAAATGCAATGTTGTCGGTGCCAGTGTGAGTCCCCCTGCCCATTTTCGCGTTCGAATTATTGATGCTACGTCTTCCTGGCGATGTCTGACTACTTGAGTGGCGCCAGCGAAATTACCGAGGGTCGCTACACCGCAAAACTTCGCCTGAATAGTGTGACATGTGGCGATTCATTCCGCGTGGACGCCGCAGTATGCACGCTAAAGCCTGATTCGCATGATGAGATTTTGCTCGCAATTTTTACTCGCGACGCCGCTCCGGCTGCAAAAGCGTGAACCGTAGCTGAGATGGTTGACGTGGATATTGAAAATCGCAAGCAAAATCGGACCAAGTGAATTACGCATAACAAGTCGGTGATGCTCACTGGTAACAATGATCAACATCTCCTTGTATCTACTGTTTCATCGAGCCTGCTTAGCAACCTTCAAACTTTAGTCTTTTGAGGCCTGCACTTACTTCTTATCGCAAGTACCGGGCCCACATTTGGTCTACGGGCCGGCGTCGTCTAAGAGAGCAGACGACAAGCAGAAACGTTTGAAAGAGCAGACGACAGTTCGAACGATCATGCGGCCATTTGAACGTGAAGACGCGCTGAACGTAGTCCGCAGGTGGTCCGCACAACTTGATGGTTTTCTGGCGTTCATGGTGGAATAAAACAAATAAATCTGATGACCACAAGTATCCGTCAATTCAACCCAAAGTGCCTCGCGCCCAAGATATCGCTGTCCGACGGCGTCTGCTTTTCCCTTTCCATCGCACATATCCAGATTCTCGGACGAACCGAGCACGTGAAAACTGACCTTCCAACCTTTCTCGACTCTTTTGGTACGGCCCCAGGCGCGGCGTTTTGACAAGGCAGGTTTTAGATGCGGAGCATCTCTTGCTCGGGCTATGTCCCGCGGCGTCGTAGTCCGCACTCACACTACGCATGCGCAACTCTCCTCGCTGCGCGTGCGTTCTCTCTCTCTCCAACAGCTGCGCGAAGTGCACGCAGCTACCAGCTGCGTCCCTCTCTCCAACAGCTGCGCGTGCGTTCTCTCTCTCTCCAACAGCTGCGCGAAGTGCACGCAGCTACCAGCTGCGTACACTTCGCGTGCGTTCGCTTCTACTCACACCACGCGCGCAGGCGCAACTCTCCTTCTCTATACTCCGCGACAACTTTTCTTGGCAATGCAGTGGAAGGTACAGGCCCGCGTCCCCTCTCCCATTTTGAGTGTACGCAGGCTCTCCTCCTCCCCCATTTACGGGGAGAGGAGGAGAGCCCGCGCACACTCAAATTGGGAGAGGGGACGCGGGCCTGTACCTTCCACTGCATTGCCAAGAAAAGTTGTCGCGGAGTATAGTTTCTTCTCCTTCAAGTTTGAATATAAGCAGCGGTAGCGCGCTGCGCGCGTTCAAGGGGAGGAAGTGGCCGAGTGGGCTAAAGCGTCTCAGCTCGGAGTGTGGAGCGAAAGCTTGCGCTGGGAACTTCCTGGGTTCGAGTCCCCGCCACCCCCGCCCGTTTCGATCTGGATGAGTTTCGTACCGGCACGCGTTCGTGTGATGACTACTGCGTGATGCACGTTAAGAACCCCAGGTTAGCGGTTGTACTGCACTGGCTAAATTTCTCATCTACAGCTAAGAGACCTATTACCCGTTGAGGCGCATCTCCATCAAGGCTGTATAAACATAAAGAGCAAACCAATTTCTGCACGCGTTCAGTTCACCGCTGTTGACTCCACTTCATTCTTCGGATGAAGTGTGATGGAACGATGCTCCGCATCACCCCATGGTTCCCCTCGGGAAGATGGTGTAATTTTTTTGTCTGGTTCCTTTCAAAACAACGCAGGAATACACGTCTGGCATGGGGACTTCTCCCCACAGCCCCAGACCAGAAGTGCGCCCGACGCGCTACCACCGCACCGTGACGTCACAGAGTTGAGTTCGTGTATACAGCAGGGGGGGAGGACCAACGGAGATTTTGCGTAACAAAGGACAAAGAATGGGTTGTTGAAAATACAAGAATCAAAGAGAAAGTAAAATCAAAGAAAGAATAGAATCAAAGAAAGAACTGTGCAGTCTGTCCGTGTCCGTATGTGTTTTTATTACTTCTTTGGTTGTTGGGTTTTACGTGGGGTGCCCAAGTTCAGCATACACACGCTTTGCCGCCATGGAGCCCCCCCCCCCCCCATCTTCGTATCTAGGCCGCCGCAGAACCGAGGTGGGACCCACGGGG